CGTTATCGGATATGCTAATGTGGAGGTACTGTGCAGTGTGCGCTGCAAGATGCATCCACATGCATTCAAGAAGAGCATGTTCACGTTTCTCTGGCGTCACGCTTCGCGCTTTCGCGTCAGTTCCACAGCATATGATCAGGTAACGTTTGGGGAGAATGACCCCGGGATTTTGTGCACATCTCACCCAACATTGGCTGGTATATGACACATTGCCAACCGGGTCAATGGTGCAAGGCGACTGGCGAACGACCGAACCAAGGAAACGCTGCAATGGGTCACGATTCCTAGACGGGGATCTGATCATCATCGGGGTCAGCTGGGTTCACTGACCTTTCGGCTATTTATAGGGGACTGGTCTGAGAGGTCAGCGTGACACCAATACCGTGGATATATTCAGCAGTCAAGGTGATGTAGGACTACACCTCCGTGCAGATATCGGAGGGATTGGATTGCGGCTTTTACGCATGGCATTAGTCTTTAGTTGGTATACATATATTTGCATAATGCATAATGCATACGCAACTATTGTGAGATGCAGACTATGTGGTACTCACATGGGTGTGACCGCTAAACCCAGCTTTTTGGGCCGAGTCTGACAGCCACGACACTGGCAGTCCAGGCAGCTGCCCAGCTACTCGAGTACTTGTGTCAGGGGTAACCACGCTTAAAGTTACCTTTTCATGCCTTCGAATTTTCCTATTTTCCCGATTGATCACTAAAGCAAACTGAGCAATGTGATAGCATATGGTTTGAGCACTAAGCTCTATTTCCCGAGGTAAAGCGAAAAACAAATTTGGCATGACTATTCCCACATCATTTTATGCATGGTGTGCAAGTTTGAGCTGTTATCTTTTAAGGTCAGGTCACCAGGTCACCTTGAATGACCCGACCTTCAATCGCTTTTTTAAAACTTTGTAACCGTGTCAGAGCTACAGTAGATGACCGAGTCCTGTAATAAGACCATTGTTACCTGCAATTTGTTTGTATTGATTTTTTTATATCGATGGCCTAAGTTCACGTCAATTCCTTGACCTGCCAATTATAATTCAATGAGGAAAAATTAGCTGCCTTTTTCCACTGAAACACGTCGTAATGACCAATTATTCCATAAGTGACATCATTCATGACCCTAACCTTGAACCAGCCAACAAATTTGGCCTGGGCCATAGCCGGTTTTGCTCTGGCTAGCTCCGGCATTTGCCCCGGTTAAAGTACGGGCAAGGTCTGGAGCTGACATACCATGTCCCCGAGCTCGCCGCACCACAGCCGGACTAATGCCACATCAGCCGTGCCGTACCTCAACCGTACTTCAGCCACAGCAAGCCAGAGCAGCTACGAGGCAGTCGGACCTGGCCGTAGGAAGCCGGACTTAGCCGTGGCAGGGGAACGGACTTGAGCCAGACTTGGCGGTCCGAAACCATACCAGCTCAGGAACGCTACGGCAAAGGCTGGCTAACCGGAATAAAGCCATAACCACCCAAACCCCAGCTCTGAATGCGTTCCGTTCACACCGGCCCAATTCTGGCATGTCAGAGTTGCCGGGGTAAAACGGACTTGGGCCAAACCAAATTGCTGGCTGGTGGTGGTGGGTGGGGGGGGGAGGACTACCTTGATGTATTGTTTCCTATTGTGGACAGGCGTAATGTCAGGAGACGTCATCAAAGGTCAACAGTACGGCAGCGTGGTCTGGGCGGGGGCGGCCAAGTCCCACACGGTGCGGGTCGATCGGGTGCAGCACAAGTTCCTCATCTGGCTCATATCTCATAGCACTTCTGGACAGACAGCCTCACTTTCTTATGACAGTCTTCTGTCCCACTTCAAATTGCCAACCCTAGCAAAACGTAGAATTCAGCACGACATCATTTTTCTTAGAAACATTGTGCGAGGAAAAATCGATGCGCTAGTCTTACTCGACTCATTCCATCTACATGTGCCACCCCGATCGACCCGCACCCTCACACTGTTCAATGTACCACGAGCACGCGTGAGCACGATAGGAACTGGGATGTTCTGCAGGATCCCAAAACACATGAACGCCTTTTTGGCAAGTAATGCGAGCGCAGACATCTTCTCTGACAGTTTTGGAGTTTTTAGGGCTCGTTTGGTCCATCATGTTTTATCCACATAGTCATCTCATTGCTCATGTTACACTCGCTGTTCAGCTCATCTGATGGTTTTTATTGTGGTTTTTATTGTAGTTTTTTTAATATCAAAGTTTTTTCTTTATTTTTACTTTCATATTTACTTATACGCTAGAGCACTTCACGGATAGGCTTTTTAGGATCCGGCCCGGCCCATATCCGGCAAGTCATATCCAGATCCGCCCATTATCCGCCTTTCTTTGAATATCAGAATCCGGCCCACCCATGGCCCGTATTGCAGCCAAACTTCCAAAAAATATCCGTAATAATCCGTTTCACCAATAACTGGTTTCACCCAAAACTGGACTAACAAATTCAATCTAAGGGACCAGACAGCCATACATCTCACAGACCATCATGGTTCCAAAAACCATGCTTATAAACCTAAAACCACATGAAAATCACCACATTGGTAAACTAGGTATTAGAGATGCCACAAATTTGCAATTTCATTACCCGCCCCGCCCCGCAGCTACCCCTTGCCCAACCACAACTACCCGCAAGCTGATTTTGGCTGAGCCGAACTCGCAAAAAACCCGCAATTTTAAAAACCTGCTTTTGCAAGAAAAAAAAAGTGCAGCTGGGTCAATGCTAGAGCTATATAAACCTTACTTGCTTCATTGCTGTGCAGAAAAAGAGCCAAACAAATAGTAAGGACTTGAAATTGCTGTTTTGCATAAAAAAATAAAAAAATAAAATTTATAGGTTCTAAAGTCTGACCGCCAAATACCCGCCACACGACAAGTTTTGCTTCTCGAACCCGCCAAAAACCCTGCGGGTTTTGAAAACCCGCAGAAAGCGGGTTCGCGGGTCCAAAAGTGGCATCTCTACTAGGTATCAAATTCTAACTTCAATGTTGAATGTTAAAATTTTGATCCGTTTTGATCCGGGTTCAACCTTCAATTCCCAAATCCGGCCCGCCCATATCCGTTCTTTTTTAACAAATTTAGAATCCAATCCTATCCGGTCCGCGGATTTATCCGTGGATAACGGATTTATCCGGCCCATGAAGTGCTCTATTATACACGTATTCTCACTCTTACCTTCATTCTCATATTTATACTTCGAACTGTGGATTTTGTTTTCAGTCTGAATGAATGTTCATACTCGTGCGGTTCCCTCATACCGTTGTGTGTGTTGATGCATTTTATTTTCCTGACTTCACCTGTTAGTGGAGAATTTCTCTGTTGGTGATAATCACAAATAAACAAATAAACAAATAAACAAACACATATTGTTTTGCTAACAACTCCTTACATAAAAAGATACAGCCACGCGAATGGTCTCATTGTGTTCAGCTCGTCAAGCCGTAATCGTCACACCATATGTGGAAGGCTTTTGATGCTAATACATACATACATACATACATACCTGTTCTGCACAGCCCCTCCCCAGTCAATCGCAAATAACATATCCCAATCAAGCATAAGTCAAAGTAAGGAATCGCAATCCTAAAAAGTGCCAACTTCATCTTTTTATGATTTTACGATTTTATATGCGATTTACATTATATGCCGTAATGTCACCCATATATGCATTATGCACCAGCAGCGCAACAACAGGAGAGGAAGAAAAAGACGGACAAGGAAAATAGGTGAACGGCGATATATGTTGTTTTTCGGATCGAGGCCTGCGCGGTATTGAGCCCTCGCCGCACTTTTTGGTTTTCTACATACGCGCCGGCCGAGGGGGTGGGGGTACGACCCCCTTCGCCGTTTTCCCCCTGATTGAGCTAGAGCGTCGCGGAAAAACGAGCGTGTGCGCAGTTACGAGACGCAGCGATTGATATCCGATTTTAAAGTCTCAGGTCAACCGGTGACTTCTGAGGTCAGGTCAAGGGGCCAAAAGTACGGGTTCGGTTTTTGGCAAATCACTTCGCAACAAACGGCCGCAGAGCCGCGATTTTGGCATCATCGTGTTCAACTTGCTCAGGCACGTCGAATGATATACTTTTTGATTAGATGATGTCAACTTGAGGAGTTGACCTCGGGTCGCGGTCAGGTCACAGTCCCCAGGTCACAAATATGGTCAAAGGAGGTCATGTCGCTTATTATTCGATTCGGCATGTCTTACCGAGTCCATTGGTGGCCTTTTCGACTCGCTAGCTCAATTTGATCAGGAGTTATTGACGAAAAACTCTTATGACCCTAGTGGCGTCATAAATGACGTCACGCAAGGTCAATGTTGCATAAGTGAAGAATCTAAAATTTGCAAAGAGGGCATGAAATCACGAGTCCATGTAGTTGAGATAGTTTGAGATCGTTCCCGGCGCCAAAAAAGCAGTTTTCATTTTTCTCCATTGACTTATAATGGTGGGGCACGTGACCGACCTGGCCTCATGTGGCCTTTGGGGAAAAAAAAATCCGAGAAACACATGTTGTGAGACCTCTGGAGGATACTAGGTTCTGTAAGTTTCATCTCCCTGTAAAAGCTCCTCTAGCACTGAGGGCGTTGCGATGTTGCGACATCTGAAGACAGTGCAGAGATTCACTTATGACGTCATATTTCAGTGACCTGACCTGAACCGAAAATGCAGTTGGTGTAAAAAAAATCTGCTTAAATCAAAGGTCAGGTTTGCTACGCTTCATGTCTCTATCCCACCGTGTTCGGAGCTATCGCGAAAAAATCCTGTGGGGCGGCACCTCCCCTCGACCGGCGAGGGTTAATGCATAATGCATGCACGCACACTGCATGTAGGCATCTGTATGGTCGAGCTGCGCTCACCTCTATCGCAGTGTCTGATATGGAGACAGACGTAAGTCGCCGTGTCCAGTGGATGAGCGCCGGGTGCAGCTCGCCAGGTCGGTCACCAGGGAAGGGTGACTCGGAGCACCAGTCAGTGACGGGGACCGCGGAGGGACGGTGGTGACGGCGCCAGTCCTCGTCACCGCCAGTGGTGCTCCGAACCCTGGTGATTCTATAGTGACAGTGTGGTGTTGCAGTTGAAACTGAAGCAATTCAGCTCAATTGAGATCCGTGGGTTCCGAAAAGCATACTCAAAGTTCATGCTACATCTCTTTCGTTTTTTTTTCCTAATAGCAATGAGAGTAATGTTTGAAACATATTTGTATGTTTTGATTTGTAAAATTAGCAACTAGGGCTCAGTCACATTAAAGAGCCGTGACACTGTCAAACTTTGAGCCAATGGTGCGCATTTTAAATATGTATATCAGGTGCGCGTAACAGCATCCCCTGCCTTATGTGTGTAACATTAGATGTGCAATTCCTCATTACCTGCCGGTCCTGCTAATGGCTTACGACGCCTCTCCAATCACTTATATTTGCAAGCAAGGTACATATAACCAAATTAAATTGAAAGTAAGCAGCTAAAAACCGTAAATCTCTTAATTTTTTTTTCACAGAAAAATTGCATAATGAATTTGATGATGAAGCTTACAAGACGAAACATGCAAATGCTACCTATCATACTATTGATTAGTTTATGTGCTTACGTTATTTACGTGCAGCCACACAGAGATATTATAGGTAAGTAAAGATTTCGGTGCTTATGACTTATTTTGCTGATATGGATTCATAGGTAGATAAATTATTAAAATAGGAGAATGTCTTGTATAATATGATTCCGTATGCCAAAGAAAACGATGTAACTTGACACTTTTAACGATCCTTTACAAAGGGTGGCAGTTATCCATATCCCCTGCCCCTTCCTTACTAACCATTCTGAAACAGGCAGCATTCAGAATCGTTTGATATTATTAGTTATCGAATCAAATAAAACGATATTTCAACGATATTTCTAACGATACAAACGGTTAAACGATATTTCGCCATTTGATAATAGTGAAATGTTGACTTCTTAAAAACGTGAAACCGTATAACTTGTCTATTTTTGAAGATAGGTATCGGACTAAAACTTTCTAGACTTGATTAGAGTATAGTAGAGTAGAGTAGAAGTGGACGGGACAAAGTGACCAGCTCGGAATTGGCCATAAGTTGTTTTCATCTGGACAACAAACGTTATTAATATTGTAATGTGTCGTCAATCATCATGCACTCATCTCGGCCACTTTTCGGTTACATGAGTTACCAAATAATGCAATTGAATGCTTTTCCACGAATGCCATTTCTTTGTTCACCTACAGGTGGCAAGATGATAAAGTAAACATCCATCCTCGTTGAAACTTTTTCGCCATCAAATGCACTATAAAAAATAGTTGTACTTGAGGCAAGTGAACTGTTTCTCAATCTGGACTTGAGAAGTCGCCAGTGGCACCTTTTCCCCAGGGTATATGGGGCAAAGTTGCCAAAGTGCATAGGTCTAAAGTTTTGCCAATATCTCCCAGATGTGAACGTCTTTGGAAAAGAAACACGGGTGAAGTAAAAGGCAATCTAATGGGGATCACATTGGTATGGAAATAATCTTTCCAAGTTTAAGAACATGCGCCGGCATCGTAAGAAGCGTTAGGATGGCCGCTTTGCCCCTTTTCCCCTTCTGAAAGTTTCGTGTTGATACGTCCAGTGATTCAGAATATGTTACAGAAAACGGAGGACTCTGTAGAGACCCTCTCATGCCCGGTTTAAATAAGCCTTGCAATTATCTAATGGTGCATGTTGATTAACATGCTCCGAAACTATCCAGCCAAGAGCTTGTACCGTGTGCCGCACTAACAGGGGCAAAGTTGCTACAAGAGGAAATAGGAAAACATCTGATTTTACAAAGTTCTCATCAATGCAGAACTGACGCAATGACGCTAAAAATAAGATGCTGCTTAGTGCTTACACTACAGTATGTTAGAAAAGTTGCAGCCTGCATCTATTTCTTGCTGTAGACGTTACACACAAGAAAACTTACCGGGCCTTGTAATCCGGCCCAAAGCAGCAGACCTCATTCAACATAGGTTTTCTCTTAGCTGCAACAACGTTCCAAAGTGTCACGGTAATCTCGTAGTCACTGAGCCTTGTGTTCAGCTCTCCGCTAGCTGACCTACTCCAATCGAGCCCAGCTTTACTAGCCCCTGTACGGACATTGACCGGCTGGGCACGGACAGCCTGATATCACACACAGATACATTTATTTGCGTTTTGATAAATGTCGCACAAGATCGTGGACGTACGGTACTCACCCTGTAACTCGGCTCCTAGGCCATGTATCGATACGCAGTAAGCGTCATTCGATAGAGCAACAAAAATTAGGTAGATAGTACAGCAGTCCCTTCTTAGTTCAGGTCAAGTGTCGGTTCACCAGAAATCATCAAATGCCATATTTTGCCCTTTTCAACACTTTTTGACCAATAGACGCATAATTCGGGGAATGACTAGTTAAAGCTACAGCATCGCAGAAAAGCGCTCTTCCAACGTTCTTTCAATACATTGTCTTTATAGATTTGAACTAACATCAACGGTGTAGTCCCCATTGGGTAAAAACACTTCATCAAAACTTACGTCTTCACAGGGAATGTTTTTTTTTTCTGCAATGACTTTTGACTCAAAACTGGCGCTACAGTACCCGTCCGGGCCCGGGGGATAATCCCAACCACCGCAGCCCGGGGGGATGGGGCGTTTTTCGCCACCCCCTCCCCTGGCCAGCTCCGTAAATAAGGGAGCTACGGAAGCAAAAGCGATACCAAACGAAAGGTCCTAACGAGACCATTCTAAAGCACCTAAAATTGTTGACCTCAGGTCAATTTTCAAGATCAGAGGTCAAGGTCAAAGGAAAAAAACGGCACATGTGTAGTGATCTCAAAGTCAGAGTTCTAGAGGACAACAGGATGCATGAAACCGGCAATATTGGGTGTCAAACAAAAGAAGAGAATCTGAGAATTTCGTAAATGTGCTCAAAAGCAAAGGTCAAGGTCAAGGTCATGCTCAAAATTGATCTCAAACTTTACACTTGTTCGTACATCTTGCGTGCTAATTTCCCAGATGTTTTGAAATGTTTTGAGTTGAATGTTTTGAAATATTTTTGATTTTTTTTTTAAATTAGGTCCCTATTTGTGGTTCATCTTACGATACAAGGCTGCTCAAAGGTCAAGTCACAGGAGAGTATCCTTGCTAGAGGCTATTTCACCGATTCAAGTTAGTACCTAATGATAAATAAGACAATTTTACCATCCGAAAGCTCTAAATGAAGGATTAGCCCGCGCCCCACTGGGGGGGGGGCTATTTATAGCCCCCCTCCCGTTTTTCCGCAATAACTTTCAAACCGCTTGACGGATCGACGCGAAACTTTCGGTACCCTTAGCTGCATCAATTTGACACCTTGTGTCAAAATTTGAACTTCGTAGCTACCATAGGTCGGCCGGAAATGACGTCAGAGTGACGTCATGTTCGTCCGATTTCGACGCAAAACATTGAACCACGGCAATCGCTCCCAAGAGCTCAGTTTTTAAGCTAGATCCAATTTCTTTGCATGAAAGGACTCAGAATTGACCGCGCTATCAAACTGCTATCTCGGATTTTCAAAATTTTGAAAATTTCGAAAATTTCATATAATAATATTCAAAATTTATATTTTTGTATTTTTTCAAAAAGTTTTTGACTTTTCGAAAAAACCGGAATATATGTGACAGAACGCATGATTATGACTAACTATAGCAAGTTTTTGCTAAATATCTTCAAAAATGGCCAAGATATACGCATTATTGCAAAAAATTCACAATTATTAATTTTTCAAATCAATTTTTCAGTACGTATTTGACATCGTACACCAATATAAATGGCACCATCGTGTTCCTGAGCTCAAACTGCATCCAATAGACACCTTTTTTGTTGAAAAATTTTAACTTCAAAATTTGACCTTTTTTGACCTGAAAGTGACCTGACCTAAGCTAAATTCGACTCAAAATGACCTCGAATGACACAGACGACATCAAATTCGAAATCTATGGCCTAAACGGACCATAAAACATGTGTCACGTGACCGACGCATGATATAATATTTCCGTGACCTGTGATGACCTGACCCTGACCTGAAAATCAAAGTACAAGTTTGGTACCCTCAAGGTATCTAAAGCATCTGTTCACGAGTGTGGAAACCAAAAATGAGCATGATCTGACTTGTAAGACGGCGGCCAGAGCCCAAAATGTGAACAAGCCAAAATGCTAATAATTTTTACTTTGACCTGACCTGTGACGTCATCGGTGACCTCGAGGTCAATGAAATTAGGTTTCGCTCAACAGTTTTTCCGGGGCTATCAGACGCCGTTTGAATTTTGACGATCGGCCCAGTAGTTTCGGAGTTAGGAGGGGGGGCTATGAATAGCCCCCCCCCCCCCCCAGTAGGGCGTGTTATACACAGACCCCAGTGGGGCGCGGGTTAGAGGAAAATAGATGCCAGATTCGTGATCAGTGGGTACGAATCCATCATAAACGACCTTTCATGTGTAAAGGTCAACCAAAGGTCATTCGAGGTCATGTAAGGTCAACATAAAATTTTACCTTTTCCAAACAAAATATGTATCATTCGATGCGGCTTGACAAGGCGAATGCGATGGCACCATTTCCGTAGCTCTAGGGCCATTTTTGTCGAAGTTATTTGCGAACAAATAAATCAACATTTCGGGCTCTGGCCTCTGGCCTCAGGCCACCAATTTTTTCTATTTTTCTCTAGGTTAAACGCTACACTGCCGCGATCGTAATTTGTCTTTATCTCTAAAACTATGGCTGGGGGGATCCAGAGCGTCGTAAGCCTCGTCGTAGCTGCGACGTGTCGCAAGTTGTGTAGTAAGTCGTTTTTGAAGGGATCAATCGATGAGTAGCGTTACTTAAGTAGTAAAGTCTATCGCAAATAGCCTGATTTGCGACACAACTTACGAATTTGAAATAGCAGTCGTAAGTTGTGTCGCAAGTTGACCTTGCCTTGAGGAAGAGGTCACAGGTCACAGGTCATTCGGGTCATGGTCACGAAATTTACATGGTAGGTGTAAAATTGTTTAAACTTTAGATCCTGAAAATTTGGTTGCAATCCGTTGACGCTAACGCGAGTTATAGAGATTGAACTGACGGGTCGTCTATGAGTCCTCAATCCGTGCCAGCGAGAGTGTTAAAAATGGTGCATAATATGTTATATTCACATTTATTGGGGTATTCGGGGATATGAAGTAGCCTAACACCATTCCAGCAACTACTGGCGAATCCAGAAAGGCGGTCTTGGACGTTGCAAGGGGCATCCCCCAAAATATTCTCCCAATTCCAAAAACGACGTGTCCCAGCTGACCCCGATGACCTCCAATGAGCTCTGTGATGACCCCAAGTTGACCTTTTTGACCTGACCTGTCCCAGATGACCTCCGTGACATCCTTTTGAGCTCTCTGATGACTTCAAGCTGACCTCTGTGACCTGACGTGTCCCAGATGACCCCCATGACCTCCAATAGAGCTATGTGATGACCCCAACATGACCTTTATTACCTGACGTGTCCCAGATGACCTCCGTGACATCCAATTGAGCTCTCTGATGACTCCAAGCTGACCTCTGTGACCTGACGTGTCCCAGATGACCTCCATTTGAGCTCTGTGATGACCCCA